AATACTTTGTTACATGCATCCATATAGTGAATATCTCTGTCTATATCAACAAGTAGTAACTGGTAATAGGTCTTGCCTTTTTTGGAGAGTAACCTATTGGCAGTCAAAGATAGGAAGGAGACGTGGAGACATAGTTGTATGAACTTTTATGCTTTTTGAATTTTCAAACCCGTGATTGTATTAACTATTCAAAATAAATTTCAATTTAAATAAAATATGCCTTAGAATCAGAGTAAATTGAAAACATTTATCCCACATGTTTTTAGAAACACTCCAGAAAGGATCAGACCATTTCCCAGCCCACCAGACTGTTCATGACCCAGTCAGGCCAGTTTTTTAACCCACTGGACTGCTCATGACTCATGGCTTAATTGAAACTTTCTCCCACTTCCTGCAATAGACACCTAGCACCAAACACAATGGCCGGTGGTCAGACTGACCCTTCTGTACCTGGGAACAGCCAGACCCTTTCTTTACCTAACCCATTGTCCTGGCTCACATCCTGGAATCTTGTGACACTTGCCTAGAATAACAAGAGACTAACCACACCCCTGTCCCCTCACAAGCCCCGCACTTTTTCTTCTAAAAACTCCATTCCTGCCTTCCCCTGGAACTGCAGTCAATCCTGACTCAGCCTGCCTGTAGGTGTAGCATCAAATAAAGTCACTTAGATCAGATCATTCGGTTCCTCCCACCTCTATTTCTCATGCCTTTCTTACGGCTCCAACTTTACAGGCCTACACATCTGGACTCTAAGCTGGGCCACCATGTTAGTAAAAGACAATGAGAGAGGCCCTTTGGTTGGTTTACAAATATTTCCAATTCCTAGAAATGGCATTAATGAGTGTAGATGGCTTATACTCTAGATTTGAAGGGCAAGCTTCCAAGAGTCCCTTAACTTCACATTTCTCCTATGCGATTCATTATTTAGTTTACTAGGTAAGTTCATAATACATTTTGTACTACTGCTACTATTAAAGATAATTTTGCTTTACATTCAGGAGATTATATCTGAACCCATACAGTGGTATGATGTAAAACAGCACTCTTTTTAAAAAATACTGAATTTATTGGGGTGACATTTGTTAATAAAATTATGTTGCTTTTAGGTGTACATTTCTATAATATATCATCTACATACTGTTGTTCACCACCTGAAGTAATCTACTTCCATCTCTCAATTCTCATAAAACATCCAAAGAATAGAAATGCCATTGACAAAAATAATTATGGAAGATATGATTTCTATTTCTTAGGTATCTTTATTATTTTGGGTAAGCCCTAGATTTTTTTTGGAGGAAACAGAGAGTAGTGAGATGGTTCTCATGACCATACTCTTTTCAATTGAATTTACTGGGGTGACATTGGTTAATAAAATTATACAGGTTTTAAATGTACCATTCTGTAATATATCACCCCAAGTCAAGTCTCCTTCCATCATCATTTATCCCTACTTTAACCATTTCTACTTCCCCCACATACCTTTCTCTCTGGTAATTACCATACTCATGACCATACTCTTAATTCATTTGTTGCTTTATAAATGTTCTTTGTACTGTAAATGATTCGGCTTCTTTTCTACTGCAATTTTTTCTATTAAAACTGTTGGGAATGTCAGTTTTCCCCATTCTTTAACTTACTTTGTATTACTTAAGTTATATATGTTCAGGAAGAAAAAGTAGTAATCAGAAGGAAATGAAAAAAAGGTATTGCATATGCTAACATTTTAGTATGTATCCTTCTAGGCTTTTATCAATGTGAGTGTGCATATGTGTGTACACATTCATATTCATAAAGTAGATTTCATTATAATCAGTTATCTTTCTTGCAGCATAAAATATGCTGTTATTTCTCCTATTTAAAAAATGTAGTCTCTTGACCCCTTTCTGCAAAAGCTTCTACCTCTTTCATTTTTTGTTTCAACTATTTTTGTTTGTTTACTTGTATTATATTCTAATTTGTTTTAAAAATGTCTTAGGGTGTGTTCCAGGTGAGATGGAGGCATAGGTAGATATGCTTCATGTCTTCACACAACCAAAATAAGGAAATAACCAATTTAAAAATGAAAACAACCAGAACTGCCAGAAAATCGAACTGTATGGAATTTTGAAAACAAAGGAATTAAATAAGAAATACTCATCCAGACTGGTAGGAGGGGTGGAGATGGGTAGCCAGGGTGGATAGGACAAGTGGCAAGGTGGAAGCTGGTGGACAGGGTGGGTGATGGTGGTCCCACATTCCCTTGTTGATAAACTGGGAGAAACTAATGGGGAGTGAGACAGACCATGTAACCCAGGGTTCCACCGTGGGCACGATAAGGACTCAGAACCTCTGGATGTAAAAACCTGTGGGAGAAATTGCCAGTATCTTGAAAGCAGGGTGAGAGCCAAGCCACCAGCATCATTCCCTCCATGACCACTCCTCCATACACAGCACCACAATGCAGCAAAGTGGGTTGCCCTGCCCTGACCAGTACCTAGGGCTCCTCCCCTTACAACATAACAGGCCTGCCGAGACAAAGAAATGGCACACAAAGAGGTAGCCAACCTATCAGATACGGAGTGCAAAATACTGGTAATCAGGATGCTCACAGAAATGACTGAGTACAACTGCAAAATAAAGAAAGAACTGAAGGCTATACAAAGTGAAATAAAGCAAAATATACAGGGAATCATCAGAGAAGGGAAGAAAACCAGGACTCAAATAAATGATGTGGAACAAAACAAAGAAATAAACATTCAAACGGAAAAGAATGAAGAAACAAGAATTCAAAAAAATGAGGAGAGGCTTAGGACAACTTTAAATGTTCCAACATCTGAATCATAGGGGTACTAGAAGGAGAAGAGGAAGAGCAAATTGAAAATTTAATTGAAACAATAATGAAAAAAAAAAAAACCTCCCCAGTTTGGTGAAGGAAATAGGCATATAAGTCCAGAGAGCTCAGAGAGTCCCAAAGAAGTTGGACCCAAAGTCAAAGTGGCAAGATACATCATAATTAAATTACACAAGGTTATAGATGAGGAGAGAATCTTAAAAGCAGCAAGAGAAAAGAAGAAAGTTACCTACAAAAGAATCCTCATAAGCCTATTGAGTAATTTCTCAAAAGAAACCTTACAGGCAAGGAACAGCTGGAAAGAAGTATTCAAAGTCATGAAAAGCAAGGACCTACATCCAAGATTACTCTATCCAGAACAGTTATCATTTAGAATGGAAGGGCAGGTAAAGTGCTTCCAAGATAAGGTAAAGTTAAAGGACTTCATCATCACCAAGCAATTATAGTATGAAATGTTGAAGGGACTTATCTAAGAGAAAGAAAATCAAAAGTATAAACAGTAAAACAACATACTCATAAGTATCAATAACTGACCTAAAAAAACCAAAAATAAACTAAGCAAACAACTACAACAGGAAAAGAATCACAGAAATGGAGATCACATGGGGGTTACAGTTGGGAGGGAGAGAGGAGAATGGGGGAAAAGGTACAGGGAATAAGATGTATATTTGGCAGGTACAAAATAGACGGAGATTTAAGAATAATATAGGAAATGGAGAAGCCAAAGAACTTATATGTATGACCCATGGATATGAACTAAGGGGAAGAATGCTGGTGGGAATGAGGGTACTGGGTGGAAGGGGATAAAGGGGAGAAAAAAGAATGGGACAACTGTAATAGCATAATCAATAAAATATACTTAAAAATAAAAATGTCTTGGAAGATTTTAGTGACATAGGAAAGATTCCAAAGAAATGATGCCAAGTGAAAAACATATCCTCTGAAACAGTGTTATTCAGATGATAAGTTATATAAGGAAAGAGTATTGCAAAGAAAAGCAAAAGTCAGCAGTGGTGATTGTGTTCATGATTTGGATTGTGAGGGAGTTTTTTCCTCTGTGGTATTATACTCTTCAGTATTTTTCATATTTCTACAGTAAGTATATTAGGGTCATGAAAAATAAAGTATCTTTTTTTAAAGGACTCCGCTGTGGGGTTTTAAACATTATGGTAAAATATCAACAACATATATTTTATCATTTTAACCGTTTTAAAGTGTACAATGCAGTCTCATTAAGTATATTCACAATGTTGTATAACCATCATCATTATCTAGATTCAGAAATTATTTAGAAACCCCAAACTCTTAAGCATTCAATCTCATTTTCCCCCCACCTGGGCCCTGGCAACCACATATCTGCCATCACTGCCAGAATAGGTAAACCAATTCTGGATATTTCATACAAATGACTTTTTTCACTCAGTAAACTATTCTCAGGGTTCAACCACATTTTAGTGTTTTGTTTTTTTTTTTTACTGTGGAAAAAGCCACATTACATAAACTTACCCTTTTGACCATTTTAAGTGAACAATTCAGTGCATTCAGTACAATCAAATTTTGTACAACTATAACTACCTAGTTCAGGAACACTTTCAAAACCCCCAAAGGAGACCTTATATCCATTAAGCAGTCATGTTGTTTCCCCTTTGCTCCTGCCCCTGGTAAACACTAATCTACTTTCTACATCTATCAATCTTCATATTCTGAATGTGTCATATAAATGGAATCATACAATATGGAATCATACAATATGGAATCATACAATATGAGATTATACAATATGTGATGAGTCACACTGATAAGAAGCCACACTGTCTCCAAAGGCCAACCTTGGAAGCAGCATATGTCCCTTCTTAACTGAATTTATTGACAAACTACCTATAGAGTCAAGTCTGGCATAACTGCTAGGGAATGCCAAGGTGAATGGCAGTGTTGAGGATGGAGAGGGAAGGGGCTTTCAGTCCTGCACCCACTGGCTCATGGTAGGATAGGGGAAGAGCAATCCAAGACACATAACATACAATGTGTAACATCATTCTTTATTATGAAAAAACCCTCAGCCATCGTGAATAGAGAAAATAAACAGAACAAATGACCTTCAGGTGGTTATGTTACCTGACTTATAAGGTAACTTCAGCTTCTTGGTCAGCCAGGCCTCCAGCCCCAGTCATGGGTATGGCTTAGGCTGGAGAAAACAGAAAAGAGAACAATGGGGATGAAGACAAAGATGACATCCTAGGGCTCTTTTTAAAGGATTTGTTTGAAGGCCTGTTCTGGGATCATGCTCTTCATCTGCAGGGGAGGAGCTGAGATGTCAGAAGAGCCAGTTCCCTGAGTTTCATTCCAGGGCACCAGGTTCCACTTTCTTGGTCTTCCCATAGGCCCAGAAACATCCATCTTAACCCACTTGATACCCAGACCTCACCTTGAGCATAGCGAAGACCTGATCAGCTCTGGTGTTTTTCCACCTGTTGTCCTGAAGGCACCTGGAGTGGGAGAACAAATGATCTCCCCTAGTACCCCAGTGCAGATACACTGACCAGGCAATGCCACCTCTAAGTCTATGTCACTATATCTATGCTGGGACAGATGTGCTAGAAAGAGCACAATGTGTAATGATGAGGAAAGACCTAGTGAAAACCAAAACCTCTGTCACTAGCATTCATGCCCACTAAAATTCAAAACAGAAAAATAGAGCTGTTCAGAAGAACGTGGGAGCTTAATAATGTTTATAAAGATTTTCAAGAAAATAACAAATGGAAACCTAAAATTGCAAATTTTGAGTTATACTTTATTGAGCTACAGTGCACATACACAGCAATTGCCATTTCAAAGTGTGCAATTCAGCAATTTTCAGTATATTACAAGAATGTGCAACCATCACAAGTGTCTAATTCCAAAATATTTTCATGACTTCAAAAAGTTAACTCCTTAAGTGTAAGAGATCACTTCCTGTTCCTTCCTTTTCCCTAGACTTTGGCAATTACAAATTTGTTTTCAGTACCTATGGATTTGCCTATACTGGACATTTCAAGTAAAATGAAATCATACAATATGTGGGTTTTTCTGACTGACTTCTTTCACATACTGTAATGTTTTCAAGGTTCACCTATGTCATGATGTATGTAAGAACTGTGTTCTATTTATGAATTTATAATATCCTGTTATATAAACATACTGTATTTTTATCCATTCACCAGCTAAAAGACATCTGGGTTGCTTCTGAGTGGAATATTACTGGTGTGAACCTTTCTGCACAAGATTTTGCTTGAATGTATTTTTTCATATCCCTTGTCATATACTTAAAAGTGGGATTACTGAGTCATATGGTACCTCTGTGTTTAACATTTTGTGAAACTTTCAAAAAGATTTCCACAACGAATACTCCATTCTGCATTGTACCAGTAATATATGAAAGTTCTGATATCCTCACATCCTCATCTACAATCACCTTCTATTTCACTCAAAAATCATCTTACTGTGTATGAAGTGGTATCTTGTTAAGATTTGCATTACCCTGCCCTGGCTGGTGTAGCTCAGTGGATTGAGCACGGGCCTGCAAACTGAACAACCACTGTTCGATTCCCAGTCAGAACCCCACTGGGTTTCATGCGTACCCCACTGGGTTTCAGGCCAGTTCCCAGTGGGGTATGCATGAAAGGAAACCATACATTAATATTTCTCTCCCTCTCTTGTTCCCCTCCTCTCTAAAGATAAATAAATAAAATCTTTAAAAAAAGATTTGCATTGCCCTAATGACTAATAATGTTGAGTGTATTTTCATGTGTTTGTTGGTCTTCTGCATATCATCTTCAGAGAAATGTCTATTCAAATCATTTCCTCATTTTCAAGTTGAATTGTCTTTCTTAAAAAATATCTTTTAGCCCTGGCTGGTGTAGCTCAGTGGATTGAGCACAGACCTGTGAAGCAAAGGGTCGCTGGTTCGATTCCCAGTCAGGGCACATGCCTGAGCTGCAGGCCAGGTCCCCACTAGGGGACACATGAGAGGCAACCACACACTGATGTTTCTCTCCCTCTCTCCTTCCCCTCCCCTCTCTAAAAATAAAATAAATATTTTAAAAATATATATTTTACTTATTATGCTATTACAGTTGTCTCATTTTCCCCATCTTTAACCCCCTCCACCCTGCACACCCTTCCCACTCACACTCCCTCCCCACCTAGTTCATGTCCATGGCTTGTACATGTATGTTCTTTGGCTTCTACAATTCCCATACTATTCTTAACCTCCCCATCTATCTTCTACCTACCATTTATGCTACCTATTCCCTGCACCTTTTCTCTCATCACCCATTCCCCTTCCCCATAGATAACCCTCCATGTGATCTCCACTTCTGTGATTCTGTTCCTATTCTACTTATTTGCGTAGTTACTTTTTTTAGGTTCAGCTGTTGATAGTTGTTTGTTGTTATTTTACTGTTCATAGTTTTGATCTTCTTTTTCTTAAATAAGTCCCTTTAAATTTTTATATAATAAGGGCTTGCAGATGGTGAAATCCTTTAACTTGATGTTATCTGGGAAGCACTCTATCTGCCTTTCCAGTGTAAATGAAAGTTTTGCTGGATAGAGTAGTCTTCAGTGTAGGTCCTTGCTCTCATGACTTTGAATACTTCTTTCCAGCCTCTTCTTGTCTGTAAGGTTTCTTTTGATAAATCAGGTGATAGTATTATGGGAACTCCTTTGTAGTAACTGTCTCCATTCCTCTTTCTGCTTTTAAGATTCTCTCCATATCTTCAATCTTGGGTAATGTAATTATGATATGCCTTGGTGTGTGCTTCCCTGGGTCCAACTTCTTTGAGACTCTCTGAGCTTCCTGAACTTCCTGGAAGTCTATTTCCTTACCCAGTTTGGGAAAGTTCTCCTTCATTATTTGTTCAAATAAGTTTTCAATTTCTTGCTCTTCCTCTTCTCCTTCTGGCACCCCTTTGATTCAGATGTTGGAATGCTTAAGGCTGTCCTGAAGGTGCCTAAGCCTCTCCTCATTTTTTAAATTCTTATTTCTTTGTTCTGTACCATTTATTTGAGTCCTGGTTTCCTTCCTGTTACTGTTGGTTCACTGTACATTTTCCTTTATTTCACTTTTCATAGCCTTCACGTTTTCCTTTATTTTGTGACCACACTCAATGAATTCTGTGAGCATTCTGAGTACCAGCGTTTTGAACTGTGCATCTGATAGGCTGGCTATCTCTTTGTCATTTAGTTGTATTTTTTCTGGAGCTTTGATCTGTTTTTTCATTTGGGCCATTTTTCTTTTTTTATGTCTTGGCATGCCAATTAAGTAGCTAGGGGCAGAGCCTTAGAAATTCATCAGAGTGGGGCAAACCATGTAGCCTCATTGTGGCACTCTATGTGTGGGGGGGGTCCAAGTGGGAACAATGCCACTTATTCAGCTCTCTGCTGGCTTTAATTCACTTCTGCCCCTACCCACAAGCAATTTGGGTCCATCTGGCACTGATTTCTGGGTGTATGAACTTGTTCACATTCAAGAACCCTGTGGGTCTCTCCAACAAACTCACCTGCGAGGCTGGGAGTTTCTCCCATGGCTGCTATTACCATAGGATTTCTCAGTCAGGGGTTTTGAGGCTTTATTTCCCTGCACTGAAACTGGGTTGTGTGGCCTGTCTTGTTCCCCAGTTGTTCCTCCCCAGTTTATCTGCATGCAAAGGTGGGACCACCTACTCCACCCACCCTACCTTGCAGCGAGACCTCTCTGCCCAGCTTCCTCTCTCTGCCCCTCCTACCAGTCTAGATGAATGATTCTTCTTTAACTCCTTGGTTGTTGGACTTCCATACAGTTTGATTTTCTTTACTTCTGGTTGTTTTTTGTTTTTAAATTTGTTGTTCTTTTGGTTGTGTGAGGCAGCACAGTGTATCTACCTATGCCTCCATCTTGGCCAGAAGTTAGAGTTGTCTTTATTGTTGAATTGTAAGTGTCTGTCAGATATTCTGGAAAAGATACCTTATCACACAGAACATTTGCAATTATTTTCTCCCATTCTGTGGTTGTATTTTCAACTTTTTTTCAAAAAATTATTTTGTTGTTGTTCAATTATAGTTGTCTGCATTCCCCCCCCACTACTTCCCCCAGCCAATTCCACCTCTCTCCCTTGCTTCCACCCTCCCCATTGGTTTTGTCCATGTGTCCTTCATAGTAGTTCCTGAACACCCTTCTCCCCACTGTCCCTTCCATACTCTCCTCTGGCTATTGTTAGATTGCTCTTAATTTCAATGTCTTGGGTTGTATTTTGTGTGCTTTTTTCTTTTGTTGATTATGTTCCAGTTATAGGTGAGATCTTAGGGTATTTGTCCCTCACCACCTGGCTTGTTTCACTTAGCATAATGCTCTCCAGTTCCATCCATGTTGTCGCAAAGGGTAGGAGCTCCTTCTTTCTCTCTGCTGTATAGAATTCCACTGTGTAAATGTACCACAGTTTTTTGATCCACTCATTTACTGATGGGCACTTAGGTTGCTTCCAGCACTTGGCTATTGTAAATTGTGCTGCTATGAACATTGGGGTGCATAGGTTCTTTTGGATTGCTGTTTCAGGGCTCTTAGGATATAATCTCAGCAGTGGAATTGCTGGGTCAAAAGGCAGTTCCATTTTCAGTTTTCTGAGGAAATTCCATACTGTTTTCCACACGGGCTGTACCAGTTTGCATTCCCACCAACAGTGCATGAGGGTTCCCTTTTCTTCACATCATCTCCAACTCTTTTTGTTTGTTGATTTGTTTATGATGGCCATTCTCATTGGTGTGAAGTGGTATCTCATTGTGGTGTTAATTTGCATCTCTCTGATGGCTAATGAGGCTAAATAACTTTCCATATGTCTCTGGACTTTCTGTATGTCCTCCTTGGGGAAGTCTTTTCAGGTCCTCTGCCCATTTTTTTAATTGGGTTGTTTATTTTTGTATTGAGTTTTCTAAGTACTTTATAAGTTTTCAATATTAACTGCTTACCAGATATATCTGTGGATGTGTTCTCCCATTCTGTGGGTTGTCTTTTTATTTTTTTGATGATTTCTTTTGCTGTGCAAAACGTTTTTAGTTTGATGTAGTACCCTTACTTTATTTTTTTTCTGTTTTCTCTGTCCTGGGATATATATCCAAAAAAACCACTGCTAGAAGCAATGTCTGAGATTTTGCTGCCTATGTCTTCTAGGATTTTTATGGTTTTGAGTCTAGCATTTAAATCGTTGATTCATTTTGAATTTATTCTTGTGTGTGGTGTAAGAAGGTGGTCTAGTTTCATTTTCTGTACATTACCTGTCCAATTCCCCCAATACCATTTATTGAATAAACTATCTTTAGCCCATTGTATGTGTTTGCTTCCTCTGTCAAATATTAATTGACTATAAAGGTGTGGGTTTATTTCAGGGCTCTCAATTTTATAACATTGATCGATGAGTCTGTTTTTATGGCATCACCAGGAAGTTTCTCTTACTATGGCCATGTAGTACAGTTTGATAATGGGTAGCATGATTCTTTCCATTTTTTCTTCTTTCTCAGGATCGCTGTTGCCATGTGGGGCCTTCTGTGGTACCATATAAATTTTGAAATATTTGTTTTAGTTCTGTGAAATATGTCATTGAAATCTTGATAGGCATTGCATTGAATCTAAATTGCTTTGTGCAGCATGGGAGATTCTAATGCTAATTATTCCTATCCATGAACATGGTAGATGTTTCTACTTATTTGTATCTTCTTCAATTTCTTTCTTCAGTGTCTTATAATTTCCCAAGTACAGGTCTTTTATATTCTTGATGAGTTTCACTCCTAGACATTTTATTCTTTTTGAAGCAATTGTGAATGGAATTGTTTACTTAATTCCTGTGTTAGTTTGTTACTGACATATAAAATGCAATTGATTTCTGGATATAAATTTTGTATCTTGAAACTGTGCTAAAGTTGTTTATCTTTTCTAGTATTTTCTAAATGGATTTCTTAGGATATTCCATGTAAAAGATCATGTCATCTGAGTATTACACTGTTTTCAAATTATATATATATATATATATATATATATATATATATATATATATATATATATAATAAAATTAGGTTACCTTGTTCATGGACCTACTATTTTTGGAAGCAAAAATATCCAAATGCTTATTTCTCCAAATTGCCAATGTGTTCCTATACCCAGCCAAACAATCAATGAGCTACCTGCTACCCTCAAGGAAACCCAATACTCACTTCTGAGACCACCATGGTTTCCTGCTAGACTGGAAGGAGAAAAGCAGAACCATTTCTTGCTGCACCTGGGAGCGGGTAGGCCGAGAACTGCAGGAAGATGTGGGCACTAGAATACAGAATGCCCTCTGAGTCTCACTGATTGTGGAGTCCCTCACAAACAGCTCATCATTCATGATGAACATACTAGAAGGGAAAAGTTGTCCTCAGACAACTGATAGATGGATATGCCCACATACTCAACAATGATCCTCCTTCCATCACCACTCAGCAACCAGATCCTCCAAAGCCTGACTAAACCTACCCACCAGATTCCTTGCCTGGTAGCTCTGCCACTCCCACTGAGCTCACCTTTGGAGAGAAGGTCTACCAGCTTCACTAGATTTGTACATTTAACCCCATTGCATTTACTCTGAAAAACAGAGCAAGGGAGAGGACAGTCTAAGCCCATTTTCAGAGGAACACACAGTGTCACAGAGAACTCATATGATTTAACTAGGGTATACATTTAGTTAGTGTTTGGGTCACAAAGAGAACCCAGTCTTCTACTCCAGAGCTCACATTTTTAATTCCAATGCTGGACTGTTCCTTGGATGTACCTGTTGGTTCCCCACAATGCTTAAAAAAACCCAAACCTGCACTGCTCCATTCCCACACCCCCAAGCTTAGGCTGGGCTCCCTGTTCTCACACAGCACAGCACTCACCTGGAACTGTTGGCAGGGGTAGCGATGAAGGTCCAGGTGAAGGCACACACAGAATCCTGAGACTGCCCTTCCACTTCAACAACAACAACAATTACCCCCTTGAGTCACAATGCTTCACAGGCTCCCACTGCATTCTTCAGTCAGAGTCAGACTCCATACATGCACAAAGGGACAGTGGTTCACTGGGAGTCAGGAATGGAGAGGGCAACAATAGGAGCAACCTTCTCCTACTGACATGGACCCTACTACACCCTAGGACAACCACTTCACAAGTTCATTTGATTCATTTTTTCAGCTACCCATAGGTGACCATTATTAGTCCCTGTTTGCAAAAGAGGAAAATGAAAGTTATGTGTAACCGGCAGCCACCAAACCCCACCTCTGTGTCCCTAACAGCCAAGCTGTGTGGTGCTGACAGGCATGCATGAAGGTCATACCAGGATGGGTTGGGGGCTGAGTGGAGTCAGGAGAACAGAGAGGAAACAGGAAAAAAGAGGGATCAGGGAAGTTGGGGGGAGTTCTGAGAAAGATCCTAGCTTGCAGGAGGGACAAGTGGGGTATCTGGAGAGGGGACTTTCCACACACTCACCTTCCTTGAACACCCCATTGACACAGAAGAAGAGCATGTTTTTCTGAAATAGAAGAGTACAAGTGCTCAGTCACCATCTACACCACTGACCAACCTGCATGTTTCTGGGCCAGCCCAAGGGAGGAAGCAGGTTCTCACTGATGGGCAACCACATGTCCACCACAAAGGAATTGAGATCATGTTGAGTTTTGGATAACATACAGAGGGAGCACACAATGTCACGTCTTGTATGTTTCAGCAGCTGAAAGAGCAGATCTGTGGAGGAAGGCCAGCAAAGGTCAGGGTTGCTATACCCAGGGACCTATGACTGCCCTCTTTTCGCCTCCTTTGCCTGCCCAATCTCTCCCATCCCACACACACTGGTGTCCTTGAGGTTCTTCATATTTTTGTTATTTTTGAAGTACCCAAGCAAGCTGATTGTAGGAGAATAACAAACAAACAAAGAGAAACAGGATGTGGTGGTCTGGCCGGTGTGGGTGTTGCAGTGAGCTGGCTTGTGTCTGCTGGGGAGCCACACAGGCTAGGCGCAAAGTCTGAGCTGTGATATTTACAGATCTAGATCCTTTGGGGTTGAATGGAATGGTTAAGAAGAAACAAGTCTCATCATGATAAGCACCGAGGAGACTCTGTCTCCAGAGTTATAGATCAAGTAATATCTAAGGGGACAATGAAGACTGTCTGTCACCATGGTCTGGACCTCAAATGGGACTTGAGAACTCTCATGAGCAGTCCTATGCTTGGGTGGTTCAGTGTGTCCCAGCCCTCCCTCATTCCTGGTGGACCCTGGGGTACTCACTGCTAGAGGAATTGCAGCACTAGACTCTTCACAACATGAGATCCTTTATAGCTTTCCTGGAATCAAAGACATTTTGAGGCAATGTGGTTGATAAAGCCTCCCTTGCAATAAATACCCCAAATGTTTACCTTTCTCCCTCATCTTGTAGGGCTTGATTAAGTCGGGATGTGAATGTCAATGGTGGGGGTAAATCCTGGCCATCCTGGGAAGGGAACAGGAAGTTGGCAGTGCAGACCAGGAAACTTCTCCTGAATAATTAGGAGAATGGATAGGCTCACGGGATCATGAAAGACAGAAGTCAGGAGTGAAAAGAACCTGGAAATTTCATGGGCAAGATTACAGTGGGCATCTGCATCATGAGGTCTTGGAAGTTCTATTCTTGTATACAACTTGTGTGTATTTGTTTCTTTTTCTCTTCCTGTCTCCCTTCTTCCCTGCCTCCATTTCTCTGTGTGTGTGTTCATATATGTGGATTTTGGCAGACATCATATTCATCTCTTTTTCAGAAGTCCATATCCTCTCATTATGGACAAGGGTCTGAAGTAAATGTGTAATTTAAGCAAGACTCAAAGTGCTTGAGGGCAAATGTGGAAGTTATCCATGTGATTTAAGACGATGATGAACAAAGGCACTTACCAAGCACAATAACTTGGGGAAACATTTCCTGATGGCACTGTCCAAATCTAAATACAGAAAGAAATGGTTGATAGTTTGGGTTGCAATGCTTCCACTTAGTTAAAACATTCATGGCATGAACAGAGACAGGCGATCTGCCCACCCACCAGCTCCCTTGCCCTCCTCAGCCTCTGATTTCAAGGTTTCTGGGTCCATTTGCCTGCTGAGCACTAACCAAATCCCATATGGAAACTCAGAAACATAGTCTCCTCATCTCTCTCCACACCTTCACGTTCATATTACCTCCCCTCCACCCTTCCTCCTTCACCTTTTCCCTCCTGCTCTCTCTCTCCCTCAGCCCCTTTTCATCCTGCTGGTTAGCTTCCATCCAGAGGATCCTGCATTCCTTCTCCAGTGCCACAAGGCACAACATTTGGATCCCAGACTCCAGGGCTTCTTCTTCTTTCCTGTCTTCCCTTCTTCCTCTTGATCCCCAGTGAAGGCTCCAGAGAAGTGAGAAGGGGGTGGGAGCCTGCTCTGCTACCTCAGTGGGTGTCCAACATCCTTCAAGGGTCTGGGCCTGGCCCAGGCATGGCTGAGAATGCTGGAGGGATAGGGAGGCAAGAAAGGAAATGAAATGGAAGAACAAACAAAGGGAGTGAAGTTAGGAGAGGAAATTGGGAAGACATTGGGGAGTAGAGACAAAGGTGAAAAGGGAAAAAATGCAATTGGAAAGACATTCTGCCCTGGTGGTGGGGGATGGGTGTCAGATAAGGAGAAAGAAGAAAGGGAATGTCTTTCCTGCCCTTTCTTTCATCTGACCCTGGCTTGCTCTAGGTCTTCACATAGGAATGGAGAACATACATTTCCAAAACATTGGTTCTGTTTGACAGGTAGATCCTATTAGTTTACTGCATTATTTGGATCTCTTCTACCCTTGCTGATTTTCCCTCTAGTAATTCTGTCACTTGCTGTAAGGGGGGTGTTGAAGGCCCCAAATATCATTTTGGATTTCACTATTTCTCCTTTCAACCCCATCAGCTTTTGCTTCATGTACTTTTGGTTCTGTTTTTGATGCATAATCACTTATGTCTTCCCGGTGGATTTGCCCTTTCATCATTATGTAATGGCTCTCTTTAACAAGTCTCTTATGTATTTTCTTTTTTTACTGGAGATTGTACCACAGGTATGCTAATAAAATATCTTGGTTGTGCCCTAGCTGGTGTAGCTCAGTGGATTGAGCATGGGCTGTAAACCAAAGGGTCGCTAGTTTGATTCCCAGTCAGGGCACATGCCTGGATTGCAGGCCAGGTCTCCAGTGGGGAACACTGAAAGGCAACCACACATTGATGTTTCTTTCCCTCTCTTTCTCCCCCCTTGCCCTCTCTCTAAAAATTAATAAAATCCTTAAAAATATCTTGGTTGTATTGGACTCTGCATATTCTCTTAGGAATTGTGTTGCTGTCCATGCCTCTGCCCATAAACACTCCTGTCAATATATGTAATTCACCATGTGGAAGGATTTGGGAGTTTTTTGGTATCTACAGAAATAAGGCAGGCACAATTCTCTCTTTCAAAGGTAGATTCACTAAGGGTATTTTATATTTACCACATTCCACTGAAACAGTGCATCAGCAGACAACACTAGTGCTTTGTTTGAGTGGGCACGAAGATTACAGAAATTAGACTATTAGAAATCAGCTTCCTTTGAGGTCTCATATTTAAGGTGCTCTAGGTTTGTGTGTTGCACATTTTGTACATCAATTACCCCATGTTTCCGCAGGACCACTCAGGAGTAAAATTTCGATGACAGCTGATGTGCTGATGATGACCAGGCCTCAGATTAACACCTCCAGGGAGTCACTGCTCTCACTGTGTGGCCCGCTGTCAGGACAATCTTAAAAGTCAGAGCCCTTGAGACCTTCCATGTGCATGGCACTGGAAGTGAAATTGAACACGGGTAGAGCATTTTACCCATGAATACCACTTGCTCGGTTCCCAAAACTTGGAGGACACTGGAGTGCTCTTTTTCTTTCTCTGACACTGCACAACCCAGGGATCAGGACATTCTCCAGGCCTCGCTCCAAAAGTCTATCCAGAATCTAGCCACTTCTTACTACCTCCATTACTATGTGCTCTGGCCAACATACCAACATCTATATGGCGGATTATGCTGCCTTCCATCTAGTCCTCTGGTTTCATCCCTGCCCCTGACCATCGATTTTCAGTCCAACAGCAAAGCATAGGTCTGTGCATTTCACTCTGCTCAAACCTGCTTAACAATGGTCTGAAGGCCATGAGCAGGTTAAAAAGTCATGAGTTCAAAGGGGAGACCAGAGGGGAGAGGGAAGGGAATTTAAGGGGAAAAAGGGGTAGGGATTTGGAGGAACAAATAGGAAGGACACAGGGACAAGAACTAAGGGGGGGTGGAAATGGGAGGGAGGTGGGGAGCACAGGGTGGGGGGAGCTGGGATGGGAGAAACAGACAAAAAACTGTACTTGAAAAATAACTAAATAAAATTAAAACAAATAAAAAGTCATGAGTTCATAATGCCAGTAAACAATAACCACACCAAAGTGACACCTTATTTGGAAGTGGAGGTGAATGACAGGAAATCAAACCATGTCCATGAAAATCCAATGAAAGTTAAAAAACAAATATTAAAGGAGTCAGTAAGGGTAATGAGTGAACACATGGTTTATAGGAAGTAGAGTAATTTGGGGGCACTGACATTACTTCAGCAATAACGTTGCCAAGGAGAAAGTATAAAAGTGAGTTAGCTAACAGGTACAGCACTCCCAAAACCAGCTGACTAACTAGTTCCAGTGACTGAACAGGGGCTGAGGCTTGCCTCATCAAGGTGCTTCAGACACAAGGCACCTCAGTCATGGCCTTGTTTTGGGAATCTCTCAGGAGAGGGGATATGTGATAAAAACCACAGAGGGATACTCCTACACACACCCACACACAGACATGCATACACACATACAAACAACCACTTATTGAATGTATGCATCTCAGCACAATCTTTGTCTCACAGTCTTGCTGCCAGAATCAAAAGTGATAGGTTGGGCATTATAAAGCAGCTAGTACCTTTCACTTTGGACAATGCAGCCAACTTTACTTGTTTCCAAATTACTTATATGTAAAAATCACAGATTAAGGCTCACCACCACCTTAATAAAAATATATAGCAGAAAACACACAGGGGTGGTGTGCACCCACTGAGACTGTAGACACCACCTGGGAAGAGTTGGACAGTGATAGACCCTGGCCTGAGTAGGTGGGAACTGTGAACACCAGTATACCTGCTGGAAGAGGAAACCCACCAACAAAAGAACCACCAACAGAAAACAACAGAAGAAGATGAAGGAGGGAGTGGAAGCCATAATAACTTAACTCAGGACCAATCTGGAAATACAACTAAATGGTGGACAAATTACCCAGAGCGAGCAACCAAAGAAGAGCAAGAGAGAATCTCTAAAACCTTGTACACACAGAAAAACCAGCTTCAACACAACCTGTCCACACCCACAAAACACAATCCAAGACATGGTGGAAGGAGTGACCCTCAGTTAACCAGCTGGAGGTAAGGACACACCAAAGAAAGTCCCAACAACAATCAAAACCC